TCCTCTAGCACAAGGTAATGCAGAAATCAATGAATTATTGATTGGAAATATGCTGAGGGCCTCATAATTTCACAAAAACACGGCAATAGTAAAAATTTGAAAAAAAAATAAGATTCCTTTAGAAGGCAACAAGCCAAGGATATTACAAGGACATATTTGAATTGTTTTTATTGAGCTACATATTTTTCTCCACTCCCATCCCTTCCTTCTCCCTCCCCCCTCCCCTTCTACCCTCTCCCATGAGCCCTATGCTCCCAATTTACTCAGGAGATCTTGTCTTTTTCTGCTTCCCACGTAGCTTAGATCCATGAATGTCTCTCTTAGGGTTCTCTTTGTTATCTAGGTTCTCTGGGATTGTGAACTGTAGGCTGGTTTTTCTTTGCTTTATGTCTAAAAGCCACTTATGAGTGAGTACATGTGATAATTGTCTTTCTGGATCTGAGTTACCTCACTCGATATGTTTTCTAGATTCATACATTTGTCTGCAAATTTCAAGATGTCATTATTTTTTTTCTGCTGTGTAGTACTCCAATGTGTAAACGTACCACATCTTCTTTATCCATTCTTTGGTTGAGGGGTATTTAGGTTGTTTCCAGGTTCTGGCTATGACAAATAATGCTACTATGAACATAGTTGAGCACATCACATGTCCTTGTGGTATGATTGAGCATCCTTTGAGTATATACCCAAAAGTGGTATTACTGGGTCTTGAGGTAGGTTGTTTCCTAATTTTCTGAGAAATCACCATACTGATTTCCAAAGCAGCTGTCCAGTGTGTACTCCCACCAGCAATGCAGAAGTGTTCCATTTACCTTACATCCTCTCCAGCATAAGTTGTCATCAGTGCTTTTGATCTTGGCCATTCTTACAGGTATAAGATGGAATCTCAGAGTTGTTTTGATTTGTGTTTCTCTCATGGCTAAGGATGTTAAGCACTTCCTTAAGTGTCTTTCAGGCATTTTAGATTCCTCTGTTGAGAGTTCTCTGTTTAGGTCTGTACTCCATTTTTTTATTGTATTATTTTGATGACCAATTTCTTGAGTTCTTTAAATATTTTGGAGATCAGTCCTCTGTCTGATGTGGGTTTGGTGAAGATCTTTTCCCATTCTGTGGGCTGCCATTTTGTCTTGTTGATCATGTCCTTTGCTGAGCTACAGCACTGAAAACAGCCTGGTACTGTCATAAAAACAGACAGAAAGACCAATGGAACCGGATCAAAGACCAGGATATCTGTCTGCACACCTATGACCATCTGATTTTTGAGAAAGAAGCAAAATATATCAAATGGAAAAAAGAAAGCATATTCAACAAATGGTCCTGGCATAACTGGATATCAACATGTATGAGAATGAAAATAGATCCATATCTATAGTCATGTACAAGACTCAAGTACCGATGTATCAGACCTCAACATAAAACCAACCACACTGAACCTCATAAAAAAGAAAGTGGGAAGTACACTGCATTGACACTGGAGACCACTTTCTAAATATAACCCCAGTAGCACAAACACTGAGAGAAACAATTAAAAAATGGGATCTCCTGAAACACACTTAATTTTTCTTTAAAAAAATTGTATCTTATTATACTATAATCCTGGCTAGTTTCAAAACTTTGAAAAAAACTTTAAAAGCTTTCACAGATCACCTGAAACTTATAAATCTGACATTATCAACAAAAGAATATGTCTATACTTTTACAAAAAGTTTCTTTCTAGTGAGAAAGAAACAACAATTAAAAAGCTAAGAAACTGTGTATGTGCATGTCTGTGTCCTTTCTACACAGTAAGGTAATGTTATCAGATAATATGGTCTATTCCAGAATAGACCGTCTGCATCTGTTCTGGTGTCTTCAGCTGTGACACTCCACATTTGTGCATGACTGAGATAAGAGCCCTTGTGACACTGTTATTTTGATAACCTGAAGCTGTTCAGGTCCTCTGGGCTCTCATCCTCTCCCTTTTCTATCCTGAAGCCCATGGCAAGGAGGAGGAAACTGGCTTTGGCTCCTCCCACCATAACCTTCCTTCTCCCTCCCCCACTAAGGACCAGAGCTTCCTATACAATATTGCTCCTCCACATTCCTGCCACCACCAAGAGCACCATTCCTGCTCTTCCTTGTGCTGTAGAGAAGAGGACTGACTACACTTTCCAAAGCCATTCTCCTTCCCACTTGTAGCATCTCCTCCTCTGCAGCTGTTATAATCACCTCCACCGGCCCACTCCTGGTTGCCATATCCAGGCTCCCATCCCCATGTTCTCCTCTTTCTCCTCCATAATCAGGGCTACCTCCAAAGTGGCCACTCCAGGCTCTCCACCATACCCATGGTAGCCATCGCCCAATCCATGTCTACTTTCGTTTCCATCACCCCTTCCCCAGGAAAGTTGTTCCCTGGTCCTGTTCCAAAATTTCCACCACCACAGTGAGATTCCCCCCAAACATGAGTTCTCTCCTCGTCCACTCCTGGCTCTTTGGACTTCTGCATTCCTTGCCGTTCTAACTTCTGCATTGTGACCGTGGATGGTACGATAATTGTGGGATTTTTTTTTCCACAGGATTCTAGTCATCAAGAAAAACAAAGTCAAAGCCTTTTTCTTCCCTGACTGCCTATCAGTAATTTTAAAAATATTGTTATTTAAATAGTATTTATTTTTCCACATTTTTAAAAGAAAACTCTAGTGATGTTCTTAGCATCTTCTCTAACCCCACAGACAGCTTCTTCAGGGCCATGTGGGTGCTGAGTTTTCAAGATTCCTCTCTGGTTTTGTTCTGGCTCAGTGGCTCTTCCATCAGCTGAAAGAGGCCTTGCAGTCAAGCCCACATCAGCTCAGCCTTGGAAGAGGACATTTCCAAAACCAAATCCTCTTGATCATTTCTTTTCATGGTCCCTCATCACCACACAGTCTGGGTGCTTTTCCCACTGCGTGCGGGTGTTTCTCAGACTTTCTTCTGTGGTTTTGATGTGTGAGCCACTAACAAAGAGTCTATGGAACTGATCCTTTTCCCTTTTTCTTCTCCACAGGAACAGTTCCCAAAGTGTCTTGCATCATGGCCTCGGTCTCTTCAGCTAGATTCCTCACAGCCTGAGTGAAATAAGAACTTTGCTTACTGACTCTGTCCTGTGCCACCTCCTCCCAAAAGCACACAGCTAGAAGCTTGTGCACACACCACCACACAAGGCCCCGTGCCTCTGCTGCCACTGCAAGCTGATCTGTAAGTCTCTGGATGGGTCCCTGTCCCTGTGTCCCACTCTGCCATAGGGATGTTGGAGTTGCAGATGGGAGCCATGACGTCCAGCATTGTGTAGGTCCCAGAGGTTGAGCCCAGCAGGGATTTTACAGTATGGTGAAAACAGGATTGAATGCTCTGACCCTTTACCTGCATCAAGACTGGGGGGGGGGGGGGGGGGGCTCACTGCTCCACACCTGTATTCCACAGTACTCTGGAGATGGATCTCTTGAGCCCAGGCAACATGGCAAGACCGTATCTCAAAACCAAATATAGAATGATTTCAATGTAGGCTGTTAAATAAACCTCCCTAGTTTGCTTCTCCCAGATTCTGTGCTAAAGATCCATGAGTAGAATCCAAACATCTAAGATCAAACAAGGCATGGTGGCCTGAGCCTATAATTCCAGCACCCAAGCGGCTGAGGCAGGAAGCTAACAAGTTCAAGGACAGCCAGGGCTACGTAGAGAGTTCCGTGCTAGCTTTAAGTTACATAGTAGGATTGGGTCTCGAAGAAAGAAAGTGGGGAAGGAGAAGAGGGGAAAGAGAAGGAGAGAGGGAAAAATGAAGGAAGGGAGGCAGGGTGAACAGAAGAAAAAGTCCTTTCTATGTCGCTTCTATGCCGCACCCGTCTATCACCTCCCCGACTTCCACCCTTCTCTGTTCAGAGAATTGGGTCTTGATCAAGCTGCAGTTTTCTCATTAGAACCCAGTTGATCACAGTTTTTCCTCCTGATTTTTCACTGTTTTTCCTGGTGTTTTCTCATTGGGGCCTATTTGTAACATAGTAGGCTAAATGAATTTCAATTGCACTTTCTTGGTGCAAAACAGCCCCCAACTTGAAATTCTTGGCAGTCCCAGCTCACCTCCAATTCCTCCCTTGGCTATGATTTTTTTTTTCACTTGTACCCAGTATGTCTGGCTGCTGATGTTTTCATCCTTCTAGCAATTAAAGATGCAGACCGGCTTCTCAGTAGGCCAAGATGACATCGAACTGATAAAGGATAATTAGGAAGTTGCTTTTCAGTGGTCTATTCACCCACGACTGAAGCTGCCACCATACTGAACCTTAGAGCAGTCATTCTATACCCTAGGAGCCTATTAAAAACCCTCTGTCGATGACAATCACTTCAATTGCCTTCCTTGTATGAAATGTCGCCAAAGCAGATATTTCCCAACATGCTTCTGTGCCAGTGTGTTTATTACAGACCCTCCTGAGGATCAATGGCTGGTGGGGAGCTGATCACAAAGCTGGCTTTATTAAACTATGAAATGTCAGCCCCATACTGAAGTGCTGCAGAACATCTCCCGTCCTGGTAAACATGTCTCCTCCTCCACAGAGTCTATTTATACACAGTCGCCTCACAGGACCTGAGGCGACAGCAATTTACCCTCCTAGAAGCTAATTTTTGCCACTATCTATCTCTCTTTTTACAACTCAAGTCCCTGCTTCCGTGAATTGCAACTGAACATCCATTCAGCTAATTTTCTTTCCTCGCATCCGTTGAGTCCTTGACTTAAAAACAAGTGAACAACCTGGCCAGGTCAAGAAACCCAACCCCTCTCCACCAACCAGAGCACGCCCTCTTCCCCTGCATTGCCCACAAAGCTGAAGACCAAAGAGGGAGAGGAGGGCTCAGCCTGCTCCAGGCGAGCGCACAGGCTCAACCCTTTTCCTCCAGTGGGATGGCAAAGGGCTATTCTAAAAATTACTGCCACTAGGGTTTGTCGGGCGGCTGCTGGTGACTCCTCACTGGGTTTTCCTTCTCCCGCCCTCCCTTTCTCTCTACAGATCTCCTCCTCCCCAAGGGAGGCTGCTGTTAAACCTTCATCACTACCAGCGGGGCTCTCACTTCATTCGGGAGAGAGAAGCTGGGACCGCACTGCCAGCTCGTGCCTTCCGGATCCTAGGGTGTGTATGGCTGTGTGGGTGGGAGACGGTGGGGGTGTCCGAGTGTTGGTGGCAATAGAGCTACTTTCCTGCGGGGATCTCCAGCTGGGTGACACAGGTCATGTCCCTTGATCTCAAGTTGAGAGGCAGAAAACTTTTTCCTGGAATTTGAGAAATGCTATAACCAAGGAAACGGACACAGTAACTGATATGTATGAGCGATACCCTATAAAAGTAAAATTACATGTATTTTGTCATGGTAGTTTTAATTCTCTAAATCTTATATGTTTTTCTCCCACTATTTTATAAAGAAAATTCTTAGGGTTTGCTCAGGAAACTTAGAATTCCATCTTTAATGTTACTAGCAACCACGTTGACACGTGGTTTAGTTAATACAATAGTTCAGGAGAGATACAGTTTTATCCGTTTTAACTGAGTTAGTAGTGCAGAACTCAAAAGAGCTTTTTGACTCCCCCAAATACAACTTTTTGACAAAATCGAATCCCCACCCCCGCCCCCGTAAATACCCTATATTTGTTCTTTGACCAAAAATAAACGTAGAGTTTTGTTCTAAATGTGAATTTATGGCTATCATGGTCTATGTTTCACTTTGCAAATCGTTTCGGTATTGGAATGGCAAAGTGGAATCCCCGTTCAGAAGGGCTTCACTAAAAATGGACAGCATGCGCCACGTCCGTTTCTATTCTGGGAGGCAGAGCTGATGAGCCCCAACAGATGCAGCCATTGGAATGCAGCAGGGACGGGGGCAGGCACAGCTGACTCTCCCCCTTAGCCAGGAGTCTGGTGGGATCCCACTCCTAGTGCGGGACAGTGACAGTGACTTAAGCACCCGTGCGCTCCCAGTGTGGTGGGAAGAACACTCTCACAGGCGAAGTGACCAATCTTCAAGTGACTTTCTCCAGAAATCGGCTTGAGAACAGGAATGATTTTTATTTAAAGTCAATACTTTTGTATCAACTTGCCCACTTACAGGTGAAGGACGGTTATGTTTCTGTTCCTTGGCAACATCAGCCCAGTGGTGGTTCTAGGCATGTTTTGGCTTACATATTTTTTTCAGGAACTTTATGGAAAACAAAAAAACAAACAAACCAGAAACCCCTGAGTCATTTTACAGAAAAGTAACATGAAGACATCTGTGTTGTGGGTTTCAGAACAGCCTTCGGGGCTCATGGCTCCATCTGGAACCAAACCCGGTGTAGAACTGCCAGATAAAATACAAGGTATCCTATTAAACATGAACTTCCTTATAAACTACAAATAAAAACAGCTTTTAATATAAGTGTGTTTGAAGTACACACTTGTGTGTATGTTATATACATACATGCAAATATATATATATATATATATATATATATATATATATATATATTTCCTGGTTTATCTGAAACCCTAACTGCACATTTGTATTTTATTTGTGGCCTCTGACAGCTCAGAACTAGTTGAGTAGATCCTGTGTACGGAATCTTATCTCCACTGGCTTATCTCTGTCTGAGAAAAAGTTAATTTTAGGGATCCAAACAGCTGTTTGAGAGGAAGTGGCTTAAATCCTGTCACCTCTAGCAGAAAACGCCAGCTATGCAGTAACTGTAAGGGTTCAGAACTAAAATCTCCCATCTGACAAGAGGTTAAACTAAAACCATAAAGGTTGCATGTTTCATGCAGGCCTTGCAAATGGTTAGAGCAACGTCGATACAAAACTCAGGTCCAGTTCTGTGATAAGCAAAGAAATTTGAGTCTTTAAGACTCCGTTGGGGAGAAAGAATTAGAAACTTGACTTCTAACTCCTTGCAAATATAAAATACAGAGAAGAAAGGCCTTCTTATTAAAGTTTTCCAGGCCTGATGGTACATACCTTTAATCTCAGCACTCGGGAGGAGACAGGTAGATCTCTGTGACTTTGAGGCCAATCCAATCTCTACAAAAAGGCCTCAAAAATAATTTTTTTCCAACAAAAACCAATACCAATAATTTGGGATTCTCTATCTTGAATACAGAGACTAGAATAGTAGTTAATTCTGTGCTTAGAGTCTCAATGTCATGGTCTCTAAGTCCAAGTGCAGCTCTCACCTAATTTAAACAGATGACCTTGACTATATATGTTATATATATATATATATATATATATATAATATATTATATATTTGGTTTTTCAAGACAGGGTGGTTTCCCTATACCTTTGGAGCCTGTTCTGGAACTAGCTCTTGTAGACCAGTCTGGCCTTGAACTCATAGAGATTCACCTGCCTCTGCCTCCCAAGTGGCAGAATTAAAGGCATGTGCCACCCTCGCCTGGCTTGACTCTATATTTTAAAGAAAGAAAGTGGGAAGTTCATGTTCAGTCTGGCCCTTACAACGAAGTACTTAGTTATTTCATCAATGAATTCATAGACGCCCTTCTGTGCACTTACATTTTTGACTGGCCCAACCTGAAGTTTTGTAACTTTACCACCTTTAGCAGGAAAAAGAAACCCACAGAGTTTGTGTCTTCAAAAACTTTATTTTGCACTCAGAAGCACTTTAATCTTGATAATTGGGGCTGGGAAGAACTTTTTCACAGTCTCCATATTTGATTTTATAAATTTTACAAATCTTGGTTTTACAAATTTGATTTTACAAACCATGGGTATTCCTCCCTCAATCTCATTTTTTTTTTATGCTGGAAAAAGCTAGCTTTTCATCTTCCACAGGCTTTAACTGACCCTGGATTAAAGGGAAGCAAAATAGAGAAGACGGATGTTGTGTGTGTTTGAATCTTTGCTCCAACACACATTGCATGTGACTCGTGTGATTGTTTTTTAAACTCTCTAAATTTTGAATTCTCCATTTGTAAAATGAAAACAGGACAAGATTTTCATTTTAAGATTTCTGCAGCATTTAAACTTATAAAATTAAAGTATATATATATATATATATATGGTATATTAAAGTGTATAATAAATTAAATTGTATAAAATAGGTAACCAGGTCTCTAGCATACCATAATCCTTGTTTTCTAAGTAAATCCTAGGTATACAGTACTACATAGGGAGAGATGGCGATATCCATTTACACTTAATATGTTAGATGAATACTTGGTTATTTATATTTTTAATTGATAATGTACTTAAATTTGACAGGTACAAAGGATAATGGAAAATATGATTTGCATAAACCTGCCTAGCTGCTAATCAGGTCTAGAATACCTTATGCTATCATTGTGGAAATTGCCTAAGAGACAAGAGCCAGGGTGGGCAGTGAGGACGGGCCTGGAGAGAGAATAGTGTCTGTTACCATTCTCCCCAGTTCCGGTGAGAATCCTTCTTAGAGGGACGGAGGAAGGAGGAGAAGAGGCAGTGGCACCCATCATCAGGATTATTATTAATAGTTATCATACCTGGGTACCCTCCGAGGGATGAAGGTAGAGCTTTGGCAGGCTCCAGTAGGACCGGAAGTCTCCTTTAACCCTCTGCACCCGGTGCAAAGTCTCTTCTTTGACCCGAGAAGGAAGCCGCAGAAAAGGGATTGGCAGTGCCTTCAGATGTGCTCATCCTGTTTCGCAACCTCAGCTGCTGTGGATGACCTGCTCTTTCCAGCAGTCCTATTATGGTAGGAAGCGTGTGAAAAGAGCAAGACCAATGGAAAGTTCTTCTCTTTGAGCATACAGGTGTCAGCTCATCAGACCCCCATTGATGAGAACAGCTCAAGCATGTGACTCAGGAAAATGGAGATAGAGCCTTGAAGCTCCTCTCCGGGGAAGGAGCTCCAGGAGCACAGGGCTCACTCCTCGACGCTCTGCGATCTGAGTAGAAGTCGCAGTGAATGGGAAGCATGGTGATTTCCCGGCCTCCAAGTTTTGGCACTCAGAGTGGCCAGCCACAAAGCATGAGCTTGGCTTATAGGGGGGAAAGCTGTAAAAACCAGTTAAATCTTCATTTGTCTTTCAGCTCATGTATAAGTTGAATCAAAAAGAATAGAATGTTTTCAAAATTTATTCCTCAGTGTGTAGGAATATTCTAGATTATGGCAGGCAAATGACTAAATTAAAATAGGCTGAGTTGTTCAGTTTTCCGTATATATGTATATTATATATGTGCACATATATATTCCTATGGTGCCTATTTATAACTGCTTCTTTTTAAAAAAATTATCAGTTCTTTGAGAATTTCATTTTGATCCTTATTAATGAAGTCAAATGCCTGACAAGTGCGGCTTGAAGGAGGGTTTGTTTTGGTTTATGGTTGGAGAGCACAAAGCGTTGTGGCAGGGAAGGTCCTGGGGCAGAAGACTAAGGCGGCTGTCCACATTGCGTCCAGAGTCAGGTAACGGCGGTGAACACCGATGCTCAAATGGCATTCTTTTAAATTCAGCCAGGACTGGAGTCTGAGGGATGTTACTATCCATGTTCAGGATAGGGTCTCTGCCCAGCTAACCTTTGTGTAAACACCTTTAAATGTGTGTTTCATAGTGAGTCTAAGTCCTGTCAAGGTGACAATCAAGATTTACCTTTGTATTCACCAGCAACCTTGTGAAGCAGGCATTGTTTTCTTTTTAATTTTTTAAATAATTTCCTACGTGCAAGTAAATTATTTTGAACACAGACACCTGCTATCACTCTCTCTTATCCCCTCTCACTTTTACTGAGCACCTTCTTCCCAAGAAGTCCCTCTCTGTGTCTCCGTCTCTCTCTGCCTTGACCCACTGAATCACTGACTTAGGGCTGCTTGTGTGAGTATGGGCAGGGAACTACTTACTGGAGCATGAGTAGCTACCCAGTGACTGCAGCTTTTAATAAAATGACCTGCCCTCCCCCAGCAACCATTAACTACCAAGCCCCGTCCATCCATGATGGAATAGCGACAGACCTCATCTTCTACATCCATGTAAAGATAACGAGAACTTCTGCGATTTCGCGAGTCTAATGACCAAGTTGCTTCCAGATGTCTATTCACAGCATTCCTCCTCGTCCTTCAGCCCACATTCTGTCTGCCCCTCTTCCGCAATGTCCCCTGGACCTTGCCTTGGAGGTGAAGATAATAGACATGTCCCATATAGGACAGAGCACTCAACAGCTCACTCAATTCACATCTCCTTAACTTAACTAGGTTCTCCGCATTAACACACACACACACACACACACACACACACACACGTGTCTCCGACCAAGGCTGAAAGCAGCACTGGCCTTCGGCTAACTATAAACATAAGTATTTAGAAGACAGTTTGACAATGCATCCACATACCAAAGCATCAGTAGTAGATTCCTCCCTAAGCCTATGCATTACTTGATCTTTGGCTTTTAACCAGGTTGTGTATCAGGTATGACTTCCCTCTTGCAGAAGAGAACTCAGCTCCAAGCAGAAGGCACTCAGTTGCCCCCCTCGCAGTTATGCCATTGCTGCACCGCTGTGCACAGCTTGCCTGGTGGCACAGTAAATCATAGCACGCTCAGGGAGCGTAGCAGTGACTTTTCTTCCCATGTAGCCCGGTTAGTACCTTTCAGCGCTAGCCAGCAGAGAGGAAGCTTCCGGTTCAGCTCAGCTCTAGCTTAAACTAAGCGTCCCCCGACCAGCAACTTTTAAGGATATGTAGCAAATCTAGGATTGGGGTTTTTAGTTAAATAAGCCACAGCTTTTAGAAACTGAAATAGCCAATGCTACCTCTATTTATGTCCTTTGTAAAAAATTATTGTTAATTAGCTTATGAGATAGTAGGTTTCCATATGGCTCTTTCATACATATCTCCCAAGGTTTGGTTAATTCTTCCCTCACTTCCTCTCTTCCATCTCCCTGCTGTTATCCCTTCTCAACCCTTCCCAAACCCCAGTTTTACACATGCACCACGCTACTTCAATCCCAGTCCAGCTACTGACAATGGACAAATGCCCCTGCATCATCCACTCTCAGGGCTAGTTGACCCAGCAGGTGAGCGCATTGTTTTCTTCCTGTAGTCAACAGAGCCTGAAAGAGGTCAAAAGTAACGGCTAAGTAATGGAATTGGTATCAGTACTGTGTTTTCATTATTATTCAGTTTGAAATGGGATCTAATTTCCCTTATAATATCGTCTTTCAGTCATAAATTATTTAGAAGTATATCATTTAATTTCCAAAGTTTGAAAGTTAAGTGGTTTTCCTGGACAGCCTGTAATTACTTCTAACTTTATTTATTGTTATCAAATAGTGTAGTCTACATAGAAGCCATGTGACTTCAATGCTTTTTTTGTTGGCTGAGGCATTTTTAGTGACTCCGTGAATGTGCCATGTACACATTAGTAGAATTTGTATCTTTACAGTTGCATATAATGGTCTACTAAGTCAGTGATTAGGAATGGTCAGATTTTGCTTACTGAAATTTTTTTTCTAGTTCCAACAGTTGTTGAATTAACTTCTTCAAATATAATTGTGAATTGCTTATTTCTCTCTAAAATTTTACTTGTTAGTTCATGTATTTTGAAGCTCAATAATTATAAACATATATAATTATGATAGTTACATCTTCATGTTGAATTTATATTTGTATTATTATGAAATTCTATTACTAGTAAAAAAATTTCTTTTTGTATTATTATGAAATTCTATTACTAGTAAAAAATTTTTCTTTAAGTCTATTTTCCCTGACACTAAAAAAGCCACAAGACCTTCTTATGTTAATTATTGCCTTGGTTAATATTTTTATAACCACTTATTTTCTACTTATCTGTGTCTGTATAGTGAATCTCTTACAGTTAGCATATTGATTTTGCTTTTGTTTATCTATTCTAGCAACCAAGTCTTTTAATGGTTTTCCATTAATATTTAATATCAATACATTTGTTTAACATTACATTGCTGTTTGTTCCCTCCAACATTCTTGTCTTTAGAATTCTCAGCTATATTCTGCATATCTTAAATGATTGTTCTAGAGCCACTTGGGGGCTACTAAATGCTGAAAATGTGGCTGATCCAAAGCAAGGCATACTAACATCTAAAATGTACACAGGATTCTGAGGATTTAGTATGAAAACATGCAATAGCATATTAATAATTTTATAAAATTATATGTGAAAAATATTTTGTATATGCTACGGTGAATAAATAGCTACTTGCATTAATTTCAACTATCCATTTTTATCTTTCTACTGCAGCCACTCAGGTTTTTAGATTGCATATATGATTCATTTTTATAGGACAGCATTGCTCCAGTGGTTCTCAACCTGTGGGTCACAACCCCTTTGGGAGTCAAATGACCTTTCACGGGGGTGCCTAAGACCATCATAAAATATAGATATTTACCTATGATTTCTAACAGTAGCAAAATTACAGCTACGAAGTAGCAATGAAAATAATTTTATGGTTGTGGATCACCACAACAGGAGGAACTGTATTAAAGGTCTCAGATAAGGAAGGCTGAGAACCACTGCTCTAGATACTTTAGCATGCACATAAAATTTCCACAGGATTTATACATGCACACTGTATGTAACCCTTCACAGAAAATATGGACACTAAGCTGGGGGTGTAATCAGCTAGTAGCATACTCACGTAGAATGTGATTCCCAACAGCTCAGACCAACAGCGACAACAGCAAACAAAACAAAACCACAAACTCTACTGCCCAGCTGCTCTTCAAATCAGAAACAGTTCCTGTTGGATCTGTAGCTGTCTTGTGCAGCCCCCGCTGCAGCCTGCTCTTAGGCTAACAGCCATCACAACGCCCTTTGCAACTGCTGACTCAGCTGCAAAATTGTCCTCACTTTTTGCTCCACCCCGTCTTCAGTAGCTTCTCCTGCTCCCTCCACCTCCACTCTTACCTCTAGATTATAATCGTAATGTTGTAAGCTAGTTAGAAACTTGTTAAGGAAAAGGGGATTGCTCATTTAAAGAGTGCATGGAGACTAACAGGGTAGAAGAACACATTTAAAACTATAAATTAGACATAAATCATTCGAAAGTCCACCAGTCACATTTACTCAGAATCTTCTGCTGGCCTTTCCTTCAGAGCCCCGACATATCAGAATGTCCAAAACCCAAGATCTGCCTATCAATATTTTATATGCATTAAGCAAACAGAATTGTAAACACCAGCCAGCAGCTGCCCCGAGCCAGTCTCAATCCTTCTTACCCTTTTTCTCTCAGCATGCCCTGGACCTCATTAATGGTCCAGAACTGAAGAATTATACAGGGATCTGAGATCCAGCTTCAGCACTGTAGCCTGAGTCCTTTCTGATTAGGAGGGGTTCTGTTTTTATCAGATATTTGTGTTTTAAATAGCACCTCTATACCTACATGCCACTAGCAAAGTCATCATCTAGTATGGGATAAACATATTGTCTTAGTTAGGGTTACTATTGCAGTGAAGAAACACTGTGTCCAAAGAAACTTAGGGAAGAAAGGGTTTGGTCAGCTTACACTTCCACCTCCCAATTTATCATGAAAGAAGTCAGGATGGGTACCCAGGCAGGGCAGGGACCTGGAGGCAGCAATTGATGCAGAGACCGTGGAGGGGAGCTGCTTACTGGCTGTTTCCTCATGGCTTGTTCAGTCTGCTTTCTTAAAGTATCTAGGACTATTCGCCCATGGATGGCCACAACTAGAATGGGCTGGGTTCTTCCCCATCAATCATTCAGAAAATGCCCTGCAAGCTTGCCTCCAACCCGACCTTACGGAAGCATTTTCTCAATCGAGGTTCCCATCTCTCTGATGACTTTAGCTTTTATCAAGGTGATATAAAAACCAAGCAGCACAACAATCTTTAGCCTTTTAGTCCAGGGTTTCCTTGAGATCCCATTATGCGCATGAATAAAGCATTGGCTTTCTGGGTTCTTCCGAGGACCCAGAGAAGGCCTGCATTTGCTCGGCTATAAGTGTAGCTTCTTGTTTGCAGCTTGCATTTGTCGCATCTTGTCTTGAGAGCACACATTGCACGTTTACCGCTCCATCGTTTCCAGAAAACTGCTGTCCGTCCATGTAGGAGTGCTATCCTATAACTTCTTGCTGAGCAAAGTATTTTTAAATTTCCTCAAATGAGGCCAACAAGGAAAGTAACTGCAAAACCTAATGAGAAAGGGTATAAGTCCTTTAAATAAATAAGAATGTGAATATGATTTGAGCAAAGTGAGAAAACAAAATATAGTCCCACGCCAGCAAATCCTGGAGTTCTAATAAGCCCTACTGCGCAGGCGCAGGAACAAGTGCTGTGCTAGGGGCCGGGTCACAAGAACAGGGATCCTTTAGGATGGCTACGTGTGTCGCTTCGTAGGTTTCACTGATGTTGTTGAAAGGATCTTCTTTTCGTGATATTTTGTAATTTTATATGGATTCCTAAATTTTAATATTTATCTTGAAGAAAACCTTCAAGGTAGTCATAATTCACTTTTTGGTTAAGTCTTTCAAAGGTTTCCATTCCAAAATTTACAGTGCATTCGAACCAGAGAACCGCTCATTGCTTCTGGGTCATAATTGCTTGAAAATACACCCTTTGGGAGATTTCATTTGAAAACACACACCTTTCTAGAATCATTTTCAATGTTTAAGGCATGAAATAATGTCACTGCGATGTGCATCTCGATGTCTTCAAATACATAATCTACTTTATGTAATTATAAAAGTTTCTAGTGTAATATATCAAAATCCAAAGCACAGCGAAAATAAACATCTCCTCCTCTTTTAGTGAGCTCTTGACGGCGACAGCGCTGTGGCGAACATGGCACCCAAGAAGAAGGCTATCAAAAAGAACAAAGCAGACATCAACGAGATGACCATCATCGTAGAAGACAGCCCGCTAAACAAGCTGAGTGCTCTAAACGGGTTCCTAGAAGGCAGCAACAGCCTTAGCTGTGTCTCTTCTGAGCTGACAGACACGTCCTATGGCCCCAACCTCCTGGAGGGTTTAAGTAAAATGCGGCAAGAGAGCTTCCTGTGTGACTTAGTCATTGGTACCAAAACCAAATCCTTTGATGTTCATAAATCAGTCATGGCTTCGTGCAGTGAATACTTTTACAACATCCTTAAAAAGGATCCATCAACGAAACGGGTGGACCTCAATGATATCGCCCCCTTAGGCCTAGCCACGGTGATCGCGTACGCATACACGGGGAAGCTGACCCTCTCTCTGTACACAATAGGAAGCATCATCTCTGCTGCCGTGTACCTTCAGATCCACACTCTTGTGAAGATGTGCAGCGATTTTCTGATACGAGAGATCAGCGTTGAGAACTGCATGTATATTGTTAATATCGCCGAAACGTATTGCTTGAAAAACGCCAAAGCGACAGCCCAGAAATTTATCCGGGATAACTTCATCGAATTTGCAGAATCAGAGCAGTTTATGAAGCTTACCTTTGAACAAATTAATGAGCTTCTCATAGACGATGACCTGCAGTTGCCTTCTGAGCTAGTAGCGTTCCAGATTGCAATGAAATGGCTAGAGTTCGACCCCAAGAGAGTGAAGCATGCAGCAGATCTTCTAAGTAACATTCGATTTGGTACCATTTCTGCACAAGACCTGGTCACTTATGTTCAAACTGTACCAAGAATGATGCAAGATGCCGATTGTCATAAACTGCTTGTGGATGCTATGAACTACCACTTACTACCTTATCATCAAAACACGTTGCAATCTCGGCGAACAAGAATTCGAGGCGGCTGCCGAGTTCTCATCACTGTTGGGGGACGCCCTGGCCTGACTGAGAAGTCCCTTAGTAGAGACATTTTGTATAGAGACCCTGAAAATGGATGGAGCAAGCTCACAGAAATGCCAGCCAAGAGTTTTAACCAGTGTGTGGCTGTGATGGATGGATTCCTTTATGTAGCTGGTGGTGAGGACCAGAATGACGCAAGAAACCAAGCCAAGCACGCTGTCAGCAATTTCTGCAGGTACCAGTGCTTTGTCGGTAATGCAAATGAACTGCAATGTGGAGAAACTGCCTTGACCCAGAATTAATGCCTGTTATCTTAGGTCATTAGTGGTAGTAAAGCTTTTGATATTTACCATGTTTCGTATAAAGCACATCGGAGATACATGCACCCTGGATTTCTTTTCTACTTTTTAATGTTTTCCAGTTAGCATACAAAGGGATGGATTAAATTTTGTCATTTTTATTCACACATGCCATTACACTTTCTTACGCATATCTCTTGGCCACTCTCTGCCCTTGCTCCTGCTTCCTCTTATTGGTCCCCTTGCTGGTTCCCCAGAATCCCTCCTTTGCATCCACGTCACATGAGTTTCATTATCACTCTGCCTTAAAATCTCTTCCTCCCCTCTCATGGTCACCTTTCTATTTTCATACACATACACATCAAACATGACCAAGAAGCAAGATTTATATGACATGTCTTTATTGTCTCAGTATATGTGTGTACCCACCACTTACCAAGAATCCATGGAGAAATGGATCAGTGGTTAAAAGTATCACTGCTCTTGCAGAGGGCCCAAGTTTGGCACCACATCAAGTGGCTCACACCAGCCTGTGACTCCAGCACCAGGGCGTTCAACGCCTTCTTCTGGCCTCCAAGGGAGCCTGCACTCACAGGACACATGCACACACACACTCTTTATATACATACATATATATATACTACATGTGTATGTAAACATATGTATGTGTATATATTACATTTCTATGTAAATATATTTGTTTATATATAATATAATCTTATATTTATATATAAATGTAATATATCAATACAATTAAGTTATTTTGGTAGTATAGCATATATTCTATGCAATTTATTTTCATATACTTTATATTTGTATAAATATGTTCTTTGAAAAAGTAATTCAAGCAATTGATTTTCAGATTTTTTATGCTTTTTTCGGTTACGGGTCTTGAACCCAGTGGCTCACCTGTGTCAAGCAAGCACTCTACCTCTGAGCCACAGTTCCGGTACTCAGTTTGTATCTATACTTACGACTTTATTTGGGAGTGAAACGGGACAAAGGGGAAGTCTGTTTACAGAACTTCCAAACTATGTGAACAAGGAACCATGAGTTCACTGGGTCTCCTTTCCCTTCTGCTGACTTTCTCACCCTTAAATACTCAAGCCAGCTTTCTTTATATTGATTTCTATACTGAAAACACTAACACTAAAAAAAAATGCTACAAAATGGAACTTTTACTAGTAGAAAACTGTTCAGAGAGATGAAGCCTTTCTTGATGCTTTTAGACATAAGTCCATTGGTCTCATTCTAACAGGCTCAGAGGGGCGGCTTAGCTTTGTCAGTGCGATGAATGGCCGCGACAGACATGCCAATGAGAAGTTTGTAGAAATCGGAGCAGACAGTTCCTATCCTAATTCAGCAGCAAGAAAGAGCTAGCGGTCATTGATGTCCGAAAAAACAAGTCGAGTCCCCTCTAATGTACAGGTTTCCCTTTCAGGTGCCCAGCTTCTATCCTGCGACCCATTTTGCATGTCTCTTAAATCTCAGGAAGGGAGAGTGGCTATTAGAGGAAAGAATCCTGTGGGGTCTTGTTCTTGTTGTTGTTTGGTTGGTTTGATTTTTGTTTGTTTGTTTGTTTGTTTGGGGATCTGGTTAAAGGAAACGTCTTCTGAATGGGGAGAGAAGGGAGTATCACTTTTTTTTTTTAATGAATGAGAGGAGGAGTAATAGCTGTAATTGTGTGTTGGGGGTGGAGGGTTCCCACTTATGCAATGCTGGGCAACATGGGTTCCCCCACTTAGGTGATCAAGCTGCCCTCTGTCATCTCAGGTACGACCCTCGCTTCAACACGTGGATCCACCTGGGCAGCATGAACCAGAAACGCACGCACTTCAGCCTGAGCGTGTTCAACGGGCTCCTGTACGCGGTGGGCGGCCGCAACGCAGAGGGCAGCCTGGCTTCGCTGGAGTGCTACGTGCCCTCTACCAACCAGTGGCAGCCCAAGGCGCCGCTAGAGGTGGCACGCTGCTGCCACGCCAGCGCCGTGGCCGATGGCCGCGTGATCGTGACGGGCGGCTACATCGGCAGCGCGTACTCGCGCTCCGTGTGCGCCTATGACCCCGCGCACGACGCGTGGCAGGAGCTGCCCGAGCTGAGCACGCCGCGAGGCTGGCACTGCGCGGTGGCCTTGGGCGACAGGGTGTACGTGATGGGGGGCAGCCAGCTGGGGCCGCGCGGGGAGCGCGTGGACGTGCTCACGGTGGAGAGCTTCAGCCCCGTAGCGCGCCAGTGGAGCTTCGTGGCACCGCTGCCCGTGGGCGTGAGCACGGCGGGAGTCTCGGCGCTGCACGGGCGCGCGTACCTGTTGGGCGGCTGGAATGAGGGCGAGAAGAAGTACAAAAAATGCATCCAGTGCTTCAACCCCGAGCTCAACGAGTGGACGGAGGACGACGAGCTGCCCGAGGCCACCGTGGGCGTGTCCTGCTGCACCCTGGCCATGCCCAACAGCGTGTCCCGCGAGTCACGGGCCAGCTCGGTTTCCTCCGTACCGGTCAGTATCTGAACGCATTGCTTCCCAGAGGCCTGTGGTCAGACTGCGAGTGGGCCACAAGGAAAATAAATACAGCGTTTACTACAGTGATGGCGACTCAAAGCGATCTAGAGGAATGTCCGGGAGGCTCTAAATTCGTAGTTTGGTATCATCTACCTCAGTCTTTCCCCACCTTCCACTAACAAAATAAAGGGCTGTAGGCGACAGAAGTAATTTCGTTCTGCAGCCACTGGGTGGCAAATGGAGTTTGTTGCAGGCGCTTTTCCAGAGAGGCCGGCTTCCTAAATTCCTAGCAGTTACTTGTTGAGATTTCGTACACTGTACACGTGAAAACATGAATGACTAAGCAATTTCCTATTCAAAGATGTCTTTTCTTCTCTGCTTCCTTTAGGGGAGTTGAAAATACTCATTTCAAATTTTCAAATGAAAATAGTTTATACCCATCAAGACTTAATTTGCATAATTCAACATAAAAATTTCTTTCCCCCTCCTTGAGTACAAAGAACTTTCAAGGACATCTCGTGTTAGAGTCAGAAGGCTTTAAACAAGGTGTGGCGGGAGAGCAACACATCCTGCTGGGAGACAGTAAGGCAGCAGTTTGTGGTTAAGGGCGTGTACCCTCATCCTCTGGAAGCTACAATCATTTTCTATCATAAAATCCTACTCTCGCCGGGCGATGGTGGCGCACGCCTTTAATCCCAGTACTCGGGAGGCAGAGGCAGGCGGATCTCTGTGAGTTCGAGACCAGCCTGGTCTACAGAGCTAGTTCCAGGACAGGCTCCAAAGCCACAGAGAAACCCTGCCTCGAAAAACCAAAAAAAAATAATAAAATCCTACTCTCAGAAGAGGAGCAGTTTCCAGTCGTTTAATTTATAGGGCAAATTTAAATCATTTGACATTTTTCTTAGAAATGATTTTATCTCTTATCCATCACTTATCCTTATATATTGGGAAACATCTCCCCTCCCCCCCTCCCCAATGGTGAACTGAGGACCTCGCGAATGCTGGATAAGTGCTCTGCCAGGAAGCTTTTTTTTTGTTTTGTTTTATTTATTGAGACAGAGTCTTACTATGTAGGCCAGAGTAGCCTCAAACTCCCGGAGATCAGCTTGCCTCAGCCTCCTGAGTGCTGAGATTACAGGCGTGTGTTACCATTCCCAGTCCTTTGCTTTATTTTAAAGTAGGGGTTTCCTAGGTTACCTAGGTTAGCCTTGAACTTAAAACTCTCCAGTTTCAGCCTCCCTAGTAACTGGGAATTACAGATCTGTACCACCAGGTACAACTTTACCCTAAGTTAAATTGCTTCTACATTAGCCCAAATGATCACTAAATAGCCTTATGTTCTTGAGTATCATTAACTTCGCCTTACCTTTCCGGCTGTACAGCCAATAGCAGGAATTTTACTGGCCCACTCTTTCTCATGATGATGATGCAGGAAGCATTTAGGATGCTCCTAGTTGGCAATGACTGGATGAATGGATGGATTCACCTATTGAGAAATGTGGTTTGTGTCTCCTGATGTCTAACTTAAAATATTAAGCCAATAATATATGTTCTTTATGATTTACTTTTATTGTTATCACTTCAAATTGCTTTGCAAATCAAAGACTATCTCTCTTTCTCTCGCTCTTTTTTTTTTTTTTTTTGAGTCAGGGTCCCTATGTAGCTCTGGTTTTCTTAGAACTAATTAGGTAGACCAAGTTGGCATCAAAATCGCTGAGATTCACTGGTCTCTACCTCCCGAGTGCTGGGATTAAAGGCATGTGCCATCATATCAGGCAAAGTATATTTTTCTGCTGCCAAAGAATATTTTCTTATCTGCCAAGTTTGGGGGAGAAGGGAAAGACTGTAGTAAATGATGCAGGTATTCTTTTAATATATCATTTTACTCTTTTTAGTATATTTGTTTTTGAAGGAAGTGCCTATTGATTATGGGTTATGTACAGTTAGTTTAAGGGGATAAAAAGGTATCTGGAACTATATCTTGGTTGTCATTAATCCCATCCCTTCCTACCTGTGTGTTGGGTTGTGATGGATATGTCTGAAACACAGTCATCTCTCCTTGTCTGTGGGCTACACTTCTGTAGGTGCAGCCAGCCACACACTGAAGAGATCTGAAAAAATTGCGTATGTAGGAAACATGTGCCGAACAGCCTTTCTTCTTTCTTTTCTTCCCTAAGCAATACAGCACAACAGTTAACTATTGCGGTGTATTAGATATTATAATGACCTAGAAACAATATAAATTCTACAAGAAGATGTGAGCAGGTTCTATGTAAATACTATGCCATTTTGTAGATGGGACATGAACATCAACTGGTATCCCAGCAAGAAGTAGGGCATGTCCTGCTACCAGTCTCCCAAGGATACTGAGGAATGGCTACATTTGATTCTAACTGTGAAATGTGGTTCAAATAAAACATTTTTGAAACAACCTTCTTCATCATCCCTTACAAAAAGTTCAGTTTGGTATTCAATGGTGACACTCAAGAACAGACTATAAACACTGGGGGGAAAATAAGTAATCATTAGCATAAAAATACAGAGAGAAAAAGGAGTTTCTTCAAGGTCAAGGAAAATCTAGCAGAGCCTGCTCTTTTGACTCCCTAACTATGCAGGCTGGAAAACAAAACTGAGAGAGAATGGCTTTTGGACCAAGTTAATCACTGACTGAACTCCTAAATTATCAGCGGTGCAGCTGCATTGGTAAAATCAACCCCGTTTTCAATGCATCATTTTGGACACTACTTGTTAAGTCTGTGTGAGGGTGGCTGTAGTATCTTTTCATGGTGATATATGCACACCCCTGCAACTGAAAAGCCTACATTATATCATTAATTTTGAAAGAGAAAAGGGTGCTTGAATGTGGGTTGCAGATAACGGAACAAACAGATGTAATTTATTTATGCACACTAATAGATACCTCTCACTTTGAGAGGGGTGTGAGGACAAGGACCTAGGTCTCCAGAAGAAGTACAAATCAATGCACTGTAACATCTTAGGATTTAAAACAGGAGAGAGACGGAAAGGAGGGGGGTTCTCCATCTGCCACAGCTGGTACAGTAGCTGTAGTTGGTACAGTGTGGGGGGGTCCCCCATTTGCCACAGCTGGTATAGTAGCTGTAGATGGTACGGGGAGAGGGTTCTCCATCTGCCACAGCTGGTACAGTAGCTGTAGTTGGCACAGTGTGGGGGGGTCCTCCATCTGCCACAGCTGGTACAGTAGCTGTAGCTGGTACAGTGTGTGTGTGTGGGGGGGGTTCTCCATCTGCCGCAGCTGGTACAGTAGCTGTAGCTGGTACATTGGGGGGGGGTTCTCCATCTACCGCAGCTGGTACAGTAGCTGTAGCTGGCACAGTGTGTGTGTGTGGGGGGAGGGGTTCTCCATCTACCGCAGCTGGTATAGTAGGCTCTAAAGCCCAGGAAGTTGCTTTCTAGAGCTAAAATGCAGGCCTGGTACAGCAGGGTAAATTGCAATCACCGTTTAACTTCTCTGTGCTCTTAATCTGAAGACTCGGAAAACATATAGCCGGGCTTACCAGGCCCTGGGTGCATTGAGGCTGATGGAGTGTGGTGCATGAAGACCGGTGGACATTCGGGAACCTGAATGTCCTGTGCTGCCCTTAAAGACTCACACATACATGGATGCTAAATGTTCTGTGTCATCTTCAGGGTCTTTAACTCGTCTCAAAGTTGCTGTCCCTGGGACATACAGTCAAGCTGCAAACTTGACATCGTTTTATTGTGGTTTGTGCTTACCTCTGTCCAGTTACAGCCCCAAGTTAGGACCCAAACATGAGCTTCTGTTTAGTTTGCTCGAAGAAAATAAATGGCCTGTGATTGTTTTTAATGCCTGAGTTCTCTGATTAAATTAATGCTCAGCTTATCAGAAAATAGCATGTTACCCAGCAACCAAAGCAAATCAAACTCAAGCTGCCTTTCTCTAAGTGGGCCAGAGACCTGATAAGAACGTCTCCAGGAAGCCAGATCTTCAGAGTGGGTCCATCTTCTCAGGGCCCCGGGGCCAAGCTGTGACCCTAAGTCACGAGTTAATTTCAGCACCCTGGGTGCATTTTATTCTCACTTCCTGTTGCAAAGGTGCTCAAAAATAGAAGGTCCATGAGGGGCACTTTAACACGGGTCTCTAGAATGAGTGGATGGTAGGGACTGAGGAAGCATCTAGCTGAGGTAATAAGGAAGTGAATCCTGAAAGGTGCTATGCTTTAAGACAGGGTGATAATTATATGATATGTGCCTTACAGCATGTATGTAAATAGAAGTTAGGTGGAAATAGGAAGGAGGTCTTCCCACTCGACCCCCATTAACCTGGTCGAGTGTCTTCAGAACTCAACTAAATCACTAAGTAAATGGCCTTAAATCAATTCATGGCATTCATTTCCCTTAGTTATAACAGAATGAACCTTTGTCATCTCTGAGTGAGTGCTGGACTCCCCCCTGCCCCAACATTGACGACTGTGTTCTTGGCACAAGGCAGCAATAAAAAGAATTCTTTTCATATCAATAACAATTATCCCAATACTTTCCCTTGTGAGTTACTAGGGCAAAAGGATTAACAGTTTACCCTACAGCATCGCATTTAGCATTCCCTCCCAGAGAGTTTGACACAAAATATTCATCTTGGACACTCCTAAAAATGTTTGTTGTTGTTTATCCAGCAAATTTTGGCAGAAGTCTTGGTGACTTAAGCCATTCTGGTTTTCTATAAAGAACAGCAAAGAAAATGTGTGTGGTGTAATTTGTAACCTCATCACTGTTAATAAAGCTGCATACAAAAGGAGTTTAATCAGTGCTCACCTGTGGGGAGTCGTGCCTATTTCTTTGATGATTGGACTGTGTGTGGGTTTTTTGTTTATTTGTTTGTTTTGCTTTTCGTGACAGGGTTTCTCTGTGTAACATCTCTGGCTGTCCTGGAACTCTCTCTGTAGACCAGGCTGGCCTCGAACTCACAGAGATCCACCTGCCTCTGCCCTCCCTTCATGTTTTGGGATCAAAGGCAGTGGGTTTTTTTTGTTTTGTTTTGTTTTGTTTTGTTATTTAGTTGTTGTTACTATTCGGTGAAGCTAAACAGTAGCAGGAAAATAGAAAGGATCATTGCAAAGTGTTGCAGCAGCTTGGAGGCTAGCAATCCAAGGCGGTGTAAAACAGCACTGGTGGCCAGACAGTAGCCAGCTGTTGTCACTCAGCCCTGATAGTCACAAGTTCCATCAAGTGTATCTTCTCATCCCATGTCTATCTGCTAACGCTGAGAATGATGAGGAGCAAAGATAAAATCTATAATTGTCCAATTAAAACAGGCTGTGTTTTGTGTATCGAAGACTAGCCAGCAGCTGTGTCATCCTTAGTCAGCGCCTGAGCAGCCCCTGCTAGCCTCTTGAGGTCCTTTGTGTAGGAGAGATGAGGTGTTCAGAAGGGCAAGAAGGTTGGCTGTTATATCTTGTTAGAGAAATACAATGAAGAGGAAGGAACAAGGCTCAGGATATGCATCATGTGAATGGGATCCCGAGTTTAGTGTAGGTTGAAAAACACGTTTTGCAGTTTACAACAGATCTCAGAAACAGAAACTTGTTCTTAATTACAGATAGAAACCTTAGCTTGCAAAGACTTCACAGGGGACAAACGGGAACTTACTCTCAACTGTCTTCACTGCAAACGGAAACCTTAAGCTACAAGGTGTGTTGTTCCTGTTTTGCTCTCACATTCCCCTCTTGAGTTCCATCCTGAGTCAAACCCTTGACTCTGTAGTGGCTATCTGATTATCCTCATAGCCATCAACTTAATGGCACCCAGCCGAGAATTTATACATCTAATTAAGGCCAAGTGCCCCATCCTATTGTGGAACTACTTCAGCTAATGAATCTACCTGTTGATAGATGGGGGCCTGTTTGGTTTTAGCAGATACATTTCCTGGTATGCCAATAGGCAGTATAGTTAGGCGTTTTGTCCCTTATGCCAGGGAGTATCCTTTAGATCTAACATCCCAGCTTGTTGGGGATAAGGGGGTGACAAACTGTCTTCTATAACTACTTCCTGCTGAGACTAGGGCATCATTATCAAGGTCCAGGAAGACTGGAATGCTGGTCAAAGGCCAGCATTAGGCAATGGGGCATTCATCAGAAGCGTCTGGTTAGCTGTCCCAGCTGGAGGGACAGAGAGCAATCACATTGGCTGGACTGGTTCAAATCAGCTTTTGGCAAGTCCAGAGCTCACAGCCATCTGTCTATAGTCCACAGCTGACTTTTGGATGTGTCTGTCAGCCAAGTGGAAAACTGCTGAGCCAGATATAGACTAGGGACAGAAGCTAAATTGTAGGAACTTAAAGGAAAACTTTACATTTGAAACTTTCAGGCCCATAGCCGTGGTGGTTGTAGGAGGGGAAGAATCCCAAGACCAGGAGAGAGATCACATCCTCAGTAAAAGGAGGCAGGGGAAACTTAGGCTGTACTGAACTGAAGTCCATTTGATCTGTGAGAGGTGGATTTCAAGTCTTATGATTCCCTCAGTTCCCTAAAGCCTACATAAAGGTTTTAGTTTACAAAAAGAGATAAAAGTTTTAAATATATTAGCATTACCACTGTTTGCAATGTGTAGTAAAACAAATCCACATTGTCAAAAACACAACTGACAGGTATCTGTAAGAAATCTCAGTTTACCAGTAGCGTGGAAGGGGGAAAGAAACCTGAAACCTTTCCCATTGTTCAGAGACCCTGAATCATTTTCTTGTTCCCTCAGAACTTAACTAAGCTTTCAGATCTGCAGAGCTTTATAGACCTTAGACCTTCAGATCTTGTGTGGGTTAACACCTTTCTTTTTCTAGCTAATCATTTGTCGGATGCACAATTACTGAGAGCCATCCTTACAAAGCAAGTTCTTTTAAATAAAGGAACAGCAAAAAGTTCCATCTGAAACCTGTTTACTCTCTAATGTGAAGCCTGTCAGCAAGACAAACCCAGCTGCTTTTCTCAGAAGGAGAAGTAGTAGCTCTAGAAAAGGCGAGGCCTGATCTGCTTTGCATATGAAACGAACCAAGGAGGTGGGTGCAGCCTTGGGGAAAGGAGCTGCTTGCCTGCTGCTGTTAAACAGAACAAGCTACAGTTAGCCTAGCCATGTGTTATCAGAGATCTGAGGATAAATTACAGCAGAAAGTGTAATCCAAATGGCCTAAGTATCAATGAAAATGACAAGAGACTTACCTGTTGTAAGTACCCAAGCTTGCTTAGTGGACCAAGATCACCTGATATGGCCATGAGGAATGAAATCAGGCTGGTTGGGGGAGCCACAGCACCACTGAGGCTTTGCAGTTATGTTCCGATCAATCAGGCTTTTTATACCTTCAACAGAAACAGAATATAATGGCAGTTACCGAGATCAATATAGTTGTAGTTGCCAAGATACACTGAAATTTCTATAATTAATTGCATTAATACTTAGCATGACTACAAGTATCATTTTGAACACATGAAAGAATCTGATCCTTTATGAGGTAACTATTAACTTACATGTCTTATCTTTCACAGTTAACAATAAGTTAGTAGCTTTTATAAGAACATTATGATTTGTTGATGTTTAGCCACATTCACAGGTTGATTCAGGGTTAAGCTTTATGTCCTCATGACAACACTGATCTTCTACCCATTTCTAGATCAAGCAGGCTCCTTGATAAACCGTGAGAGAAAAGATAATTGGACGGATGCGCCTAAGACCTTACACAGCTTCTCTCCCTGAGCTGTCTGACGACATTGCGACTCTGCCTTGATACGGAGTCCTAACTTCAGAGGTGACTGAAGAGCTGAAATCACAGGCTTTCTTTCACTATTATTTCCAGAAAAAAGAAAAATGTGAGGAGCACAAATTTTATGTAAGCTCTTTCTCTCCACCCCTCACTTACAGCCGACTTAAAAAGAATGCCAAGGACAAGAGTAAACAGCCCAGGCCTCTTAACCTGGCTTTGCTGCTTTGAGTGACAGTTAGGTCTTCACCAGAGAAGCCACATTCCAGCGTTCTGCTTCCTTCCATCTAGGGTGATCTCCACTCTCGGTTAAAGGGGAAAGCTGAGGGAAAAAAAAAAAAAAAACAAAACTGTTTTTGCTAGGTTGAATGTGGACGTCATCTATCTGTAATCTGCTCAAATCGGTACCTATGGACCCTACCTAGAGGCA